CCCAGTCCACCGCGGGACCTTTGACCTGCAGGAATCTGTGGAAGAGATTCTTGAAGCCCTCAAAGTCTTTCCTGGAGATCTGAAAGAGAATAAAGCAGACGTCAGGAAAACTGAGCCGTGACCTGGGGAGCAGAATCCATGTTTTTTGTGATTTAGTTTGAAGTAAATACAACTCTGGCACATTTTAAAACATGTAAACATTCATTTGATGGGAACAAAGTACTTTAATAAACTTACTTAAGTACTTTGTCCCCATTTGATGAACGTTGATTTTAAATGTAACTGCAGAAAACACAGCGGTCAAAGGACTAAATGACGACAAAAAACTACATTTTGAAGCATAATTCCATGAGTATTTTTGTGTGTGTGTGTATGATGTGTGTGTGTGTGTGAGTGTGTTTATGATGTGTGTGTGTGTGTGTGAGTGTGTGTATGATGTGAGTGTGTGTGCGTGTTGGATACACACACACACACCCCTTCCGGGTCGACACAGGAGTAAAACAGGGATGTGTCATCGCTCCAACGCTATTCTCCATCTTTGTTGCTGCTATCCTAACAAGCAAGCATCTGCCCCAGGGAGTCAACATCATGTACAGAACTGACGGCCAACTCCTCAACATCAACCGTTTCAGGGCTAAAGGTCAAACCACCACCATATCGATCATGGAGCTGCAGTATGCGGACAACAACGCCCTTGTAGCCCTCTCAGAAGAGGACCTACAGGGTATCCTATCAGCCTTTGCGAAAGCATACAAACAGCTCGGTCTAGCCATCAACATAAAAAAGACCCAAATCCTCCACCAACCACCACCAAACAGCAGTACGCCTGTCCTACCCCCAAACATCTCCATTGACAACATCAGACTGGAAAATGTGGACTACTTCCCATACCTTGGCAGCCTCCTATCATCAAAAGCTGTTATTGATGATGAAATACACCATCGCCTCAGCTGTGCCAGTGGGGCTTTCTCAAGGCTAAGGAAGAGAGTCTTTGAGAACCGTGACCTCCAAGCAAAGACCAACATCTTGGTCTATAAAGCTGTGGTGCTCCCCACTCTTCTGTATGGATCAGAAGCCTGGACCACATACAGCAGGCACTTAAAGGCACTTGAGGAATACCATCAGAGATCCCTCCGAAAAATCCTCAGGATTAGCTGGGAGGATCGGAGCACTAACACCAGCGTCCTGGACGAGGCTGACATTCCCACCATCACTGCCACCATTGCCCAAAACCAGCTCAGATGGACTGGCCATGTTATCCGCATGCCTGACTCTCGCCTCCCAAAACAAGTCCTTTATTCCCAGCCTGCTAAAGGGAAACGGGCCCCTGGAGGCCAAAAGAAGAGGTACAAAGATAACATAAAAACAAACCTAAAGAAATGCCACATAGACCTAAAGCTTGGGAAGACATGGCGACAGACAGGGCGACCTGGAGAAACCTTGTCCGTGAGGGTGCTGCACTATACAATGATGATCTTTGCCATGCTGCACAAGACAAGCGCAGACTCAGGAAGGAGAGATCAACCACCAAACAGGTCCAACCCAAACCCTCCATCACTACATTCCCATGTCCACACTGCACAAGAATAATCGGGTCCAGAATCGGCCTCTATGCCCACCTGAAGACCCACAAGGACCAAGAAGGAGGACAGTCATACTCGACTACGAGTGGCTGCCGATGATGACGTGAGTGTGTGTGCGTGTGTGTGTGTGTGCCCGTGTATGATGTGTGTGTGCGTGCGTGAGTGTGTGTATGATGTGTGTGTGTGTGTGTGCGTGTGTGTGTCTGTGTATGATGTGTGCGTGCGTGTGTGTGTGTATGATGTGTGTGTGCGTGTGTGTATGATGTGTGTGTGCGTGTGTGTGTCTGTGTATGATGTGTGCGTGCGTGTGTGTGTGTATGATGTGTGTGTGTGTGTGTGCGTGTGTGTATGAGTGTGTGTATGATGTGTGTGTGTATGTGTGCGTGTGTGTATGATGTGTGTGTGAGTGTGTGTATGATGTGTGTGTGTGTGCGTGCGTGTGTGTGTGATCTCTGGGTTGTTCACCTCTCTCCAAACAGTGTGTGTGTTCTCAGTGTGATAAGACGACTCTGTATGCAACGGGTACATGCGTCCACGACTCCCGGTACCCGCACCACTGAACTCTGTGGCTCAGACCGGTCTGCTGCTCCAAGCTCAAGGTATTTCAGTTCAACATGAATACCCACAAAAAACGAAGAAGGAAAGGATTTTAATTATTGTGTTTATAACTTAACTAATGAACTCAAATGGTAAATGTACGAGAAAAATAACACTAACTTAGGGGAAACATTTCTGACATTATCGTCATAAATGTGGAAATAAAATATCTGAGTTGAAATGACGAATTAACAACAACTCCTATGACTTCCCTGTGATTGGATCCACCTCACCACAGTCCCCTCCCCTTGCCATGCCTGCAAATTATTCTTTACAATTGTAATAGATTTGAGCCCAGAATCAACTTAAGATCAACAACAACGAACTGATCTGGATGGAGTGATAGCTTTTACGAGTGAGACACTACAGCACAAAGGACAGGAGAAGTTCACCTCTGAGTTTCATACGGTTGCACTTCTCAGTCTATCGAGTGCATGTGGAATGTGGAGGTTGATCTGACCTTGCTAAGAACATTTTCTTTTCTTTCAAAGAGTAAAATCAAGTTGCATCTTCTTATACCAACTATGGCTCAAATACTTGCTCTGAGGTTTCTGACTGAAACATGCTCTCGTGAACTCATTTAATGTTCAGTGTCAGGGGTTAAATGAGGATAGCGTCCTTCGGATATTTGAGGTCAAAACTGTGTTCATATTTTTATGATGAGAGAACATCATTTTTGCTTAAACCCCCTAAGAACTGTTTAAGTAATACAGTCCAACTCCTACACACTGCATTATTGAGTTTAGGTTACAGACATTTTGATGATGTGTTATTGGTCAAAGCAACTCACGGTAATAACGTTTCATACAGAAACATGTGGAGTTGTTCAGAGCTCAAACTCACTTCGCTCTTATAGCTTGGCTTAATGGTGGACGTGTATCAGATATAAACGTTGTTATCTTTGGGGGGCATTCAGAGCGCGTCTCACCTCGGCCTCGGCCTTGTTGGCGGTGCCGAGCAGCGCCTCCAGCTCGCGGTGCATCGAGTCCTCGTGCTGCGCCCTCAGCTTCTCCTGAAACTCCGTCATCACTCCTCCGGTCAGGTCTGAAAACACACAGGGTACGATTTCAATTTGACATTAGAGGCAAAAACCCGGAGATCAGAGACATCGGCTAAGAGACAAACAGTTTCCACTTTAAGTAAGACCGTATTTAAGCCTGACAGCAACTTCAAATGATGAAATTCAAGGCAGTGCTGTCCAGTTCAAACACACGCTGTACTTTGTATTAACTGACAGGACAACAGCCACAATATTGGTACAAATATCACGGCAGAAAATTGGTGTTTACTTATTGAACAGGTGACCTTGGACAGCTTCAAATCAGTTCAAGTAAACAGTGCAGTCCAGGTTTTGAAATTGTTTACTTTACTCTGCAGTAAAAGCGTTTTATTTTCAAAGGTGTACATGTTCCTCTTTTTATATTTACTCCCAATAAACATCAAAGATATCTGCCGTACTTATTAGTTTATTAGATGAATTTCAAGCATTTGACTAAAAGTGCGATACACAATCACAGTTCCACTAAAATACAACAATTTAAAATAATACATCTAATACTTAATGAAGGTTTTTGAAAGTGTAGGTGATTAACTTTAACACGAAATGATTCCATATGGATTAAATGTTTGTTATTATATTAAATCACATTTTCAAACCAATAAAGCTGCCATTTGGAAAGTTGACCTCAGTGTGTGTTAGTGTCAAAGACCATGTCCTCCGTATTTAGAGGACAATACAGTATTTAAATCCTTTATGATGAATTTTACGAGACAACAACATAAGCATTTGGTTCTTTAACCTCTTAAGTGTTGTTAACGTAACACATGAAGTTACACTGGCTCGGAGAACACAGAAAGTTAGTTATTGAAGGACAAAAGAGTAATCTCACACACTAAGCAGTCCCATCCCAACAGCCTGCAAATCAACTCACCCTCTACCGTTAGAGACATTCGACCAGAGTCTTTTTAAAGTAAAGTACACAGTAAAGATAGATCTGAGGAGAGGAAGCAACGTTTCGGAGCAGATTCACACAGAGTCCATGCGTTTGATAGAAAGTGAAGAATGGTCCCAAAGAGAAAGCAGCTGCCAGAGAACAACAGACGTCCTCCTCTTCCTCAGCCCAGAGGAAAAGCTCTCAGATCTGAAGCCCCGACCCCCGACTAAACACCAGGCCTGCCCACACACACACATACCAATCAAAACAGACAACAGACAGTGTGTGTGTGTGTGTGTGTGTGTGCAGTCGACCCCCAGTTACACCCCTGTGGGCTTTAAATATAGGCGAGTTTGAAAACAATAAGAGCTGATGGTCAATCAAGACTATTCAATCTGAGCTTGCACCATTCATATTTGTTCAGACTATTTTATTTCATTTTTTATTAATATGTACGTCTTGTAATTGCATTGTTGAGAAACCTGTGACCTGAGTTGTTCATTCATTGCATAACTACACTTAGTTGTGTATACGACATGACAATACATCTTTGAATCTTGAATCTTAAATCAATTATTGGACTGACGGAAAATGTGATATTTAATGTTGAATAAATTCAGTATTAATGAGACACACTGTAAACGTTTGAAGGCAGAAGGCTTAGCTAATAAAGGGAACATCCCTCCTGTGAGTTACCCACATTTAACAGTTTTAGTTAAGGACCTCAAATATGATATTATTTTATCTGCAAACTTAATAAATGATAACTTTCAGAACATATAGAAATGTCGTTGAATGAATAAATGTGTTTTTTCTTTCTTAATGTAAGATATTTAAAAAAGATATGTAGTTTTTATATCAGCTCCAAAACTGAGAAATTATATTGTTTATATTTCTAAGTAATTGAAACGTCACCATTATAGAAAATGGAACTTTTGTCGACTAACTTTGACTTTCTGAGCGCCACTGCAGTCAGCCTGCCTGTGGGTAATGTCCACAGTATGGATGTATTACATACATAATATGTAATATGTAATGTACAACGCTTTGAGCCCCAGGAGAAGCGCTAAAATAAATGCAATTAAATTAATTATCTTAGTAAAATAAGCTTCCCTAAAATCCCCTCCAAAGAAATACTAAATACTAAAACACATATTCTTAGTCAAATATATTTGTGTAAAGTTTACCTGACTTTAACAAACTCATAAAAACATATTTTGATTTGTTCACATGCTGTTCTGCTCTACAGTGTGTGTGTGTGTGTGTGTGTGTGTGTGTATCTTTGTTATCAGTAAAAATAGTTGAGACGCTTCTTTTGAAACATCTTAAAAATGTGCCTTGAAACTCAGAAAGTGAATTTTCACATGAAGATAACAGCAGCTCGGGAATTATACACATTCAATCAATGCTCTAGTCTAGCATTTGACAACAAGAAAGTACATTTTGTATTTATTATTGCAAAATATCTCAAACATAAAAATGATTTCCCACAAACTATTCCTGTATTTCCTGCATGTGTTAATTCTCACTAACCATCTGTGTATTTATATTTTATTAATGAACAATTTGAGATTTTCTCAGTTTTTATAGATTTGTTCCACAGTTTGTGTTATCTGTGCACGTGATGTCAATAAGTGAGGTTGTAATGGTGACCTCTTACCCTGACATTTAAACCAGGTGTGTAAAAGGTCAACTCAATACTTGTTTTGTAGTCTTTTAAAATGTGCTTAAAGTCTTTTAAGTGTAAATATAATGCTCATTTAATGTATCAACAGAAAAATTAGCAAGAGTTTTGAGTTCACTGTTTTTTTATTTCACTTTAAATGATCACATTGTAGACTGTATAAGGAAGATATAATGCACTTCTCTATCTTTTGACATTGTCACCTTGAACCTTGTATTACCTATTTACATCCATACAAATATGTATTTATAACTCATTTATATTGCATTAACATTTAATACATCCCGTTGTATTCACTTTGCAACCACTGCAGTCTACAAAGGTGGTGTAAACATGGTATACATACATATCTGTGTTTTGACTTCTGTACCTTATGTCTTAGATTTGTATAGTCTAAAACACACGCGGGCGCACACGTGTGCACGCACACACGCACACACACACGGCAGAAGCAGATGCATGCCACAGCAGCAGTTCACATAATGTTTAAGAAGCTGTGAATGTTCATTGAATTTCCCTTAAATCTGCAGACCACACCTGTTTCTGACACACTTTTCTTGCAGCAACTGGTCCGTCTCAAAGATATTAACGTTACCCACCTGTCAAAGCACCGGGAAATCCTCAAAAACAAAGCCGAGGAACACACGGACAACCTCGGCCAGAGACACACTATCTCCCAGAGTACTGCTCAGACCCGGAGGACTCGGTTTTAGAGATACAAAGTGAAATTAAAAGGTTAAAAGTCAGTGTTTATCTTCCTGCTGCCGTTAGCTTCTCTAACTGACAGCCAGCCCAGGACACACACCGCCTGACGTAGGTGACGACGCGCGTGAGTATTAAAAACAAGACAGCTGATTGGTCGAAAAGGGCCGTCAATCAGAGGAACTCGCAAACAAGGCCCGCCTCTTCATGATGGTCTATTTTTACTACAATTAATTAATGAATCATTTCCCCTTCAATAAAATGAAGACTTAATTACATGTTTTTAAATATATGTTTTAATGTACTATTTCTCATTTTAAAGTCAGTGTTATTTTGTAGTTGTTTTTTATTTTAATTGCATCCCATTTTAACTCAGTTATTCCACTGCATATTCCACCATTTGTATTAATTTAACTGATTTAACTGTACACTACTTTAATAAAACGTATTCGGTTCGCACCTGCTTGCACTGAAGTGTACAGCAATATTAAATAATATTCCTACATTTTAATTGTCCTTTTTAATTAATATGTTATTGTCATATTGCCAGATAGGGAGAGAATATACATGTTCTGAAAACCCAGACATTAGAGATAGCTTAAAAAATAAATAAATAATTAAAAAAAGGTTTCTATTGATGTGCAGTTTGGATCGATGCTTCCCTCATGTGGCAAAAGCTATTTACTGCAGGACCTGGTGGTCTTACAAAAAGGTATGGCAGTAAAAGAGCAACTGCTCCAGTTTTGAAGAAACCCCTCCGTGTTGAACACCCGCCTTTAACATTAAAATAAAAGCTGGAGACTGACATGTCAATCTCTTTAAAAGGTCACCTATTATGTATTTTCTTTTTTGTGTAAAGAGACTCTGAAAGTTTCATGAAAAAAAATGCTCTCTTTTTGTCCTGATCCATTTATATAAAAACCTGTCTGAAAATGAGCTGATCAGATTTTGGCCACTTTGTCATAACGATGTTCTGGCTTGTGTAACCATTAGCCAATCACCAGAGATGGGGTCGTTACTAAAAATGTTAATATATATATTACTTTAAAAAAAAAGAAAAAGTAATATATTACACTACTTTACTCGTTACTTTACCTTTACTCGCCGAGCACCTAGGCCTACGAACTGCGCATTCGTGAGTGGCAATAACTCTCCTTACCAGCAGGCGGCGGTAGTGTGTATTCGTCATTCAAAACAGGCAACAACCGGAAGACAGAGAAGAAGAATAGACTACGTGATATAAACAAACAACAAATAGCGTGTGCGTTAGCTTCACCTTAGCATGTGTTCTTTGCAGGTGTGTGTTGAGGTTTGACGTGGTGTTTCCAGCAGTGGATAACAGCTTCTGGCCTGGACACAGTTTGCACCTCACCGTCACATTCCTGTCTATTCTTCGGACGAACTCAAAATAATGGGCAGACCTCCACCCCTCGAAAGTTAACGCTGACTCAGCCATGTTTATGCAGCACTGCACGTGGAGATGTGGACGCGCAAGTCGCGTAGATTACGTACATATAAACCTGCGGCGGAAACCCCTCTTGTCTGTCAGTGTGATTATGAATGATTTTAGTAAGTAACGCGTGTCGGGGCAATGTTGGTAACTGTAGTGTGATTACTGAATTGTAAAAGTAGCGCGTTACACTACTAATATTATTACAGTAACGCGTTACTTTGTCACGCGTTACGCCCAACTCTGCCAATCACCAACCAAGGTAACCCCCCCCCCCACCTTATCACCTGAATCTCCTCCTAGAGCACCATTGAGTTCTTTGTAACCAAATGTCTCTCAGAGGGGCGTGGGGAGGGGCTCCTTATTTTCATCTGAAGTCACACAGAGAATCAGCACTTTGGAAATAGGGCTGAAACAGAGGGGATTATGGGTAATGCTGCAATGATCTGTTTGGTGTTTCAGCCAATCAGAGACGGGCTCTGTATATATATCTGAGACCTGTAATATATTGATGTATGATTTGACAGTATGATATATAGGACCTTTAAGGCTGTGCTAACCAAATACCCTATTTTAGGAATCTTACCATTACAAAAAAAAAACAGCAACTTTGGGGGAAACAGGAAGTGCTAAAATGCTAACTCATCTCCGTGTTTAAGGACTGCACCATTCTGAGACTTCTGAGCATGAAAGAAGCATACACATGTTTTTGTTGGGTCAGTTTCTTTGTGGTTTTATTTGTGACAACATGATCCGTTACAGTTTCTGGACAGCGAGTGTGCGTTATCATCTACCAACACAGACATTCTCTCGGTGCAGACGGCCAGGTTGTGGTTGTTAAATAGGTTTATTCTGAAAACCTGGAGAAGAAGTGGCCAAGTGACACACACACTCTGTCAAACACACACTGGGCAGCTGGGACGGTTAATACGAGTGGAGAGCATCTTCTTCTTCAGAGCTTCGAGCAGCAACTCTTCTGGGGGTCTAGGTGAAGTTGCTGCAGTTGGCCAGCAGGGGGAGTCAGTCACTGGGACAGGAAGTCCATCGCGGTGTCTCTCTCCTCCACCAGCTCAGCTGCTGTGGCGTCCATCTTGGCGCGGGAGAAGTCGTTGATGGGGAGTCCGCCCACCATCTTCCAGGTCTTATTCTGTAAGGGCGACAGAAGGAAAGGTCAGACGTCAAGCGATTTTATTTTGTCCATTTTAATAGGCTTCAACTGTGGCTGTCATCAAATTGTTCTCTCACTTCTTACTCGTAATATATTAAGAAATAATGAACAATCTCACCCTAAAAATATCCCATCAATTGACCTTTTAATGAGACTTTTCCGCTGCTTGTATAATACGATACATCAAGCTTTTTTATCGTGTCACTGTACATTGTAATATTCAGTTTAATATTCCATCCCTCACATACTTATGTATATATAATAACTTGCTTTGTAAATTCAACATGTATATTTCTACTTTCTTGTTTAGTTCTAATCTTTTTAATTTGTATTGTACAATGTCTTGTCTTTTGATGCTGCTGCGACACAAACATTTCCCACATTGGGATCAATAAAGTTCTATCTTATCCATTTTGATAGGCTCTAAATGTAGCCGTCATCATATTGTTTCTCTCACTTCTTCCTCGTAATCTCCCCAAAACAAATATCCCATTAATGAACATTTTAATGGGAAAAAGTCATCTTTGAACTCTTAGACTCTTCAGCTGCTTGAATATTCCAGATAAATCTGCTACAGGATTAATAACTTGAACACTTCAAATGGCTTTTGTACATTTTCACGTATGGTTTAATACAATGTGTGCAGGTTGAGATTCAAGGCCTGAGCAATTAATCAAAATGTTTTTTAAATCCCAATTTGGACAATATTCAAATCTTAGGAGACACACTATTGTTATATTTGCAATGTTGTTGTTAAGTATTGTGGCGCTGCAGAGAACTCCCTGCTTACATATGGTATTCTAGAGCAGTGTTTACTCAAACTTTTTCATACCAAGGACCACTTAACCAATAAAGAAACACTCGCGGACCACCTAACTCCACAAATATCCAAAAACACATTGATTTTCTAGAACAGATTATAAATCGCCTGAAAATGGTACAAACAAGTGGCAACATGTGTGACGAAGGTGTTGCGCTGGGCTATATCATGCAATCGAAAGTGAAACTTAACCTCGCTCCATTGCGGAGATATTCCCGCAAGAGTGCGGAAAACTTAAATTAACTTATTTAAAATGTGAAATGTTACCAATATACTCACGGACCACTAGGGGGCGCTCACGGACCACCAGTGGTCCGCGGACCACACTTTGAGAAGCACTGATCTAGAGAACCTTAGTCGTCATCATCATTTAATTACATTTACCAAATGAGTGAGAATAAAGAAGCAAAAGTTATAATCTCCATGGACTTGGACACTCACCTTGATCTCGATGGGGAAGGAGTAGATGAGATCCTCTGGGATGCCGTAGGAGTTTCCACCGGCGTACACACCCATGGAGATGAACTCACCCTGTAAACAAGAAGCAGTCTGAATTAACAACATGTCAACAACAACAACAAACACGGGCAACAACAAATATATCATACATATCAGATACCGTGGTGCCTGTTGTACAAAACCACAGCAAAACAACAAAGGAAATCTGAATTTGGTACTGTTAAATAGGAAATCTTTATAAATGTTTTAATGCTCATACCTTCGAATACATTTAGCAATATTCCTGATTTATTTTGCAACTTAAGAATAAAGCAATATAGTTATTTTAGCGACTACTTTTTATGTGCCGTCATAGTACAAATCCACCCAGCACTCACAATTCAAAGAATACATGTCATCGTTTGCGTGGAAAAAATCTGAATGAAATGGCATGGAAATCTTTATTTAAAAAATAATACGATAAAAAAAGGCCATCTGTGATATAATATGTTGTTGTTTTTGAATTAGGCTAGAGTAAAAAGCCAGAAGAAAGACTACATGCTGTAAGACATGTCAGAAATGGGGAATGCGTCTCTGTGCTTGACTCACGTTCTTGGTGCCGAACCAGATGTCCCTCATGTGGTCGCAGATGGCCTTGGCCGCGGACATGGCACTGGACAGTTTACGGGCTTTGATGACGGCGGCGCCGCGCAGCTGCACCGTCTGAAGGAGGAGGAGAGGAGGTTAGGAAAGAAAAGACAAAACCTGAAGATGTAATAGCTAGAATAAAAAAGTTGTTGTGGTCAAATGAACGCATACATTACACTAAGAATGTAAGAAGTGAAGCTAAGCAACATGTATAGTTATTCATTTGAAATTGTGATATGAGATATAACTAGATATCATCTAACATTTGGGATAATGTAACATCATTAGTGTTGCCTTCTCCTGGTTTTAAAGGCTTGATTGCACTGAAGTGATGCATTTGATTATTTAACAGAGTAGGCATAATACGTTATGTAGGAATACAAAATGTTATAATAATGTGTGACTCACGGAGATGAAGTCTCCTCGGAGCCAGGCCTCGTCCTTCACGGCGTCGTAGGCGTCCTTCTCTACTCCCTTGACGGTGACCTTGGCGTGGTGCACGTCGGGGTACTGAGAGGACGAGTGGTTCCCCCAGATGATCACGTTCTTCACTTTGTCCGCAGAAACTCCGCAGCGCATCGCCACCTGCAGGACAGACACAGACACAACATCAGTTATTCTGTTAGACATACTGTGATAGCCAACAATGTGTCTGTAGATAAAACATTCTTTAATCGTCACTTGGTCATAAATGGAAAATAAATATTGATGTAGATAAACAGTAATTTGGTGATATGTAGCACCTTGTCCTCTATTTAAAAACTCTGTAAAGCTCCTTTTTTTATAGATATATTTGACTGTTTTGGAAAATTCCTATTTTCTGTTTGATTCTTGACTTTTGCATAATTTGTTTATGTTCTTCCATCTACCATGTTTATTGTACCAAAATATAATCATTTCTTAAATGTACCTAATAAACTAATGTCTGATACTTTTTTATAAAACTTTACTTAACTTCTCCCCTTCTCATATTTTCCATTTGTTACAGTTTTTTTATTCATATAATTCAGCATGTACAGATATTCAATCTTCAAAGAGCAGCTGGAGGGCAACATGTTAGCTTAAGGGTTAATGTTAGTAAGGGTAAGGTTATATTTGACTGTGTGTGTCAGCCTGTCGCGATAATCGATACATTGACTTATTGTACGATAAATAAAAATGGACTCGATAACTTATCTGAGCTCGATAAATTGCCGTTTACATGCGTGTTTGTTTATATAAGGATGTAGCCCGGCGCGCTGTGAGGGGCGGGGCTCACACACAGCCAGGTCAGGACGCTCCGCGTGCAGCAGCCAAATTAATAATATAGAGACAAGCAGGAGACAACGTGTGACTTACTCGAGGGGAATTTGAAGTTAAATGGAATTGGTTGCAAACCCTAATTCCACATCTCCGGTGTGGGAATATTTTGGATTCAAGCCAAATCAACGAGGCGAACCTACGGACTTGAATGAGCCGTTATGTCGCATTTGTTTTAAAAAGGTAGCAACAAAAGCTAGCAATACGACCTTAAACTGTGTGTGTGTGTGTGTGTGTGTGTGTGTGTGTGTGTGTGTGTGGTGTGTGTGTGTGTGTGTGTGTGTGTGTGTGTGTGTGTGTGTGTGTGTGTGTGTGTGTGTGTGTGTGTGTGTGTGTGTGTGTGTGTGTGTGTGTGTGTGTGTACCTGGGAGCTGGCTCTGTTGTGGTCCAGGCGGGTCAGGCAGGAGAAGTTCTCTTTGGGGATGGACGGAGCAGATTTGGAGGCGATCAGACAGTTAGTGTTCGCTGGGTTTCCAACAACCAAGACCTGAAAAAAAAAAATCAAGATTTCAGAATTTCTTTATTTCTAGATATTTCGTTAAATTACTGATTGTGATGATTTCTACTAACATGCAAAAATAAATGTCAACACAGGACATATTTCCGTATGAAATAAAACACATGTTGTAGTCATTTAACTACCAAAGAGTCAAATAGTGGACTGATAAGAAACAAAGGAAGTTAGTTAGAGAAAAGAGTTTGACATACAATACAAATTAGAGGAGTATCCAAATTCATGCAAGACATCTTTACTATTTTAAAAGTAAACTATAGAGGGGGAAATGATATTTGACTGCATACATTTGTATTTGCAATTTGACTTTTTGGCCATTTTAGGCAAGAGACAAATAACGCCAAGTTTCTCAATAAACAAACAGAGAAGTCAGTTTCCTCTGATGTTAAAGTCCTCACAGGATTCAACATCAGGCTGTTTTCTCTTGTCCACATGTGACGCTCTGACCTTTGACCTCAGTAGAAGCCTCTTTCGTCACACTGACGCTGGACTTGTGGTGGACTTTAAATCATTAGAGGCCCTCCTGCTTAACTGAATGCTTTGGATTCACTTTAACCCGTTTCACACATGCACTGAAACCAGGACATTATTTAGAGCATGTGTGTCGGACTCGAGGCTCGCAGGTCAAATTCAGCCTCTTGTAAATGTTAAATTGTTGTAGCTGGAGAACATTTAAGGAAGTGGCATCAGAGAAAAGATATCTGGTGTTTAGAAATAGGCCTATTGAAGTGGCTTAATGCATGCTAACATTAACGCATCATATTTACATCTCTGAAATGGGCAGCACACGAGTTTTCTCGACTGGATTAAACCGTTTTATTTGCAGAAGTCAGAATGCTAGAAGATATGGGACATGTAAAGCATATGATAAATAACTAATTACTTGAAGAAATGTCCCACACAACCATTTACTTCTCCTTTTCAGGCCGGGGAAACAGCTTGTTGTGAGTTAGCCGTTTGTTATCTAGGTGCATTATTTTGACATGACTTAATGCAGAATCTTTATTTGACTTTTTGGGGGAATTATGAGGAGCAGGTCGTTGTGAGTAGACTATATGGGACACGCAATGGAACCATATGACTGGCTCTTGATGTGATCCTCATGTCCCAGTATGGTCTGTAGTGAAATGGATTTTGACACGCATGATCTAGACATTAGCCAAAGTATATTTAAAACATTAATGTTCGCTTCATTTTGATTGGACAGAGAGCGGCCTGATCTCCTAGTACCAAGTCTGTGTGATGTACGATTTCACACGCTTGCTATTGCAGCAGGTGCAAAACCAGAACAGTAATGTAATGTCCGAATGTGAAGAAGAATCGACTTTCAAGATTTGATCTCTGTAGAAACATGAAGCTGCTTTAAGAGTTAACGTGACCGCAGAGGAACAGTCAGCTTTGTTAGAGGAAAGACGCTGGATGAGCACTTTCATTTCCCTGTGGTGTGACTAAAACTCCCAGAAGTTATGAATACACGCTGAGTCGACATGAGCCTGTGGGACACCTCGGTCTATAAATAAATGACATTAAATATAATAAAAATAGAGCAGCGGTTCCCAACCTTTTTCAACTCAGGGCCCACTTAAGAATCTAAAAATATTTTCGTGGCCCACATTCAACCATAGACAATAAGGAGGCTAAATTAAGTTCTGATTGGTCAATTCAGAACATGCGACACGTTGTTAATCCAGTAGAACAGACCGCTGTCAAGGACTGTACTGACCGTTGCTAAGGAGGATCGAGAAAGAGAAGGGAAAGGAGGTTCCAATATAAAAAAATCTTAATAATGAAAATGTTTCCACACAAATCATAATGTTTTGCAAATCATTTGAAAACCACAGGTTGGGAACCGCTGAAATGTCGGATTAAAGAGTCACCTTGACGGTCTTCTTGGCGTACTTGTCCAGAGCAGAGCCCTGAGTCTTGAAGATGGCCACGTTGGCCTTCAGCAGGTCCTTCCTCTCCATCCCCTCCTTCCTCGGCATGGAGCCAACCAAGATGGCGGCGTCGATGTCCTTGAAGCCGACCTCCACCGTGTCAGTGGGGATCACCTCTGAGGGGGAGGAGAGGAACAGCATGGGATGAGTTTATCTTCATTAGAAACAATGCTTATTATTAGGATTAAAAGTATTGTTATTAATAAGTGCAAATGTGTTCAATTATGTTCAAATCTGCAGTCCTAGAAAATAAGTAAAAATACAGAAACTCTGGTATTAGCATGTAGCGCTAGCATGACATGTTTTTTTATATACTTATATTTAACAATGTCATAATGTTCCATAAGTATATTAAAAAAGTTAAATTAATTCTTTTTTCTTTGTACATATATTCAGTACAAACTACCGTCTTATTTGTATGTGCTTATACTTAGCTTCTCATAGCTTCAAGATAGCATATTGTCATTGTGTATCCACTTCACTTTAAAGTCCCCTATTATACTGTTCTTCATCAATATATCACAGGTCTCAGAAATATCCAGAGCCTGTCTCTGATTGGCTGAAACACCAAACAGATCATTGCAGCATCCCATAATCCCCTCTGTTTCAAAAGTGCTGATTCTGTGTCTGTAGCTTTAAATGCTAATGAGCTACTGCTGGCCACGCCCCTCTGAGAGATGATTGTTTTTTTAAGTAGAATTCACTGGAACTGAAGGGTTTTCAATTGTCTGTTTAATGTTAATGAATAGTTGCTATAGAATATTAACTGACCTCAAATCAAAGTAGTTTGCCGATCAAGCTGTGCGTCATCTTCTTGGTCAGATGTATAAATAGCGGTATTGAATGCAGTTAATATTTTTTGGGGAAGAACGAATCTAGTATTTTGGAATTACGCTCTTCAACTTAATCCTTGAATAAAAACAAAAAGGAGAATTTCTTATATCTTACAATTATTTACTCTCCAACACACATTATATGTATTATTTATTGGCATCCATTATCAACCTCTTGAGCTCATGGATATCTTATCTGCTGTGTACAGGTCACAGATGGTGACTGTAGAAACGTATTGATAACGATAAGGTACAAAAACATCTGTCTACGTCACTCATCTCCGTGTTGTTTTACAATGGCCTTCACTCTGAGGTTTTTACAATTTCTTCAATTACTGACTCGACTTTATGTACTTTGGGAAGATTTTCACTTTATTCAGTCGTCCTTTGTCTCCTAAAAAAGTTTAAAATCTCAGTTTTCATCAACTTCCCTCCTGCCGGCTCGTCTGATCCTGATAGGATGTGTTTTCTGTCTGTCATTAGAAGTTAAACAGCTATCAGAGTGGACTTCAGTCAGGGTTCACTTCCCCCCCATTGCTGTCCCACCACTGATCTGATTGGCTACTGTGGTGTCTTAACCACCGGCCAATCAGAGGCCTGGGTTTAGACCCTCCTTCCTACGCCACACAGCAGCAGTGCGGAGGTTTTGAAGGACACATTTACACACAGCGTGCTCTGCATTAAAATGTGATCCAGATGCAGAGACACGTGGTCGACATCAGACTCCTTAAAGCGGAGAATATTAGTTTAACATTGTGTTCTTCTCTGAGTGATGAACAAAAGAGATTACAGGAACTATTACAAAAGGTCTTCGTTGTGCAGTTTCCTTCCTCATAGGAGGTTTGCAATACTCTAGTGTTGCTTCACAGAGGACTTTTAAGAACTGAAATAACTGACACGTGTTGTAAAACGCACCTTTGTTTTTTAATGACTTATTAATATCAGTACATACAAATATCCTCACTATGTTGCTGCAGCGGGGTTGTCTCCGTTAGCTGCTGTATAGAACAGACAAGATATCCCTCAGCTCAAAAGTGAATTGAATGCAAGTAAATAATACATTTCAGAGTAAAATTCAATACAAAATGTACTTTTCCTTAAAATCTGAATATTAGTTAAAGTTTATTCCTGACAATCTTAAATCTCACCAGATTAATTAAATCCAAATTAAAATGACAATGAATTATTCTGCATTCAAATCGACTTCTTTTTGTTGGATGAAATGATAAGGGAGATGCATAACGTAATTGGCAAACTGCTTTACAATGATTTATTTATCAGTCTAATTTAGCTATTTACATAATTAATGAACATACTAGGATTACATTCATAGATGAAACCCTTTCAGACCTCACAAATAGTTGTTTTGTCAGGATTGTTCTTTAATTTACTTATAAAAAAGAACCACTTGTACTCAAATATTTATATATTTTCTCACCCCTCAGCAGTGGGAGGGCGCAGTCCTGCAGCTCCATGACGACTCCCTCCAGCACGGGCAGCATGGGGGGGATGTCCAGGAGGATCAGGGTGATGGGCTGAGAAACAACACAAAGAGATAGATATCACCCTAAAATCCACAAAGCATTACCTGGGAAGGAAATGTGGATTTTGGAAACAACTATGACCATGAAAAAAACGTAATTCTAAAATGTTCATTTTTTGGGAAACTTGCATCATGGTGACTCAGCATTTCTGGCAGACATAAAAGGTATTAAGGAAGATTTCCCAAATGTTTTCTTGCCGTTAAATTTTTTCTTTTTTATCAGTAATGCATTTCTTTGTAATTGTAAGGCAACTTTTACAGATAAAATGAGAGTTTCTGATGCTTAATTTGCCATCTTATTTATTTCTTAAATAACCTTTTAATCTATAGAGTAGTAAAGCGTAGTATTCTTTTGTTATGAATGCTAATACATTTCCTGAATTAGATCAATACAAGTGTATAAATCCTGCAACATGAACAGAGTTCTTACGTTAAAGCACTGCTCAGAGGAACAGAGAATTTAACTCTATTAAAAAAACCTTGAATGGTAGCTTGACCTTGCACATTGGCATGATCAGATACAACATGTCACTAAATAAAATAGCTTTTCTATATACTATAGGGTACTTTTGAATTCGGCATGCATCACATCCATAAGACACTTCGGGAACATTTCAGGATTTCTGAGGATGATGCAAACGCTGCTAGAGATTAAAAAAAAACTCAGGAGCTGCTGATAAATATTACAAAATAGTACAAAGTTTCATATCAATAGCCGAGTCTGATCCTTATCGAGGTGCCTCCTCTGGGCCAATCAGCTTATTCGATGTGACGGAAAAGTACAATAAAGCTGTGCTGGTGTAAAAATGTACATTTCTGAAAATATTCATATAGTATTATTTAAGTAAGATATTTCACTATTAAGGTCTCAGCTAAGCAGATGGCATACCCCACTTTAAACCCTGTTTTATTCATGATGAGAAGGACATTACGTAACATGCTCCACACAGTCTGTGCAGCTTTCAGGGGGAAAAGGGGCTCTGCTGCAGGTTATGTAATCTCACCTGCTCCTTCCCGAACACATCTCCCTTTGCGATGCTGTACAGCAGGGAGTAGGCGATCTGACCAGCAGCGCCAGTCACCACAACACGGATTGGTTCGGCCTGGAGGGGGAAACATGGATTAACATTTGTTGTCATTGACCTAGATAGGAAGGAAACGAGGCGGCAGTAACATGCATTGTTGGTCTGAAGTTAAAAGAGCCTGTATTTAACGGATGGAAACCTCACTGCTGCTTCACAAGGCCTTCATTCTCCTCGGCCCTTTTGTACAAAGAGGACTTGGCACCAAGGTCCATTAAGAAATACGTGCAATGTAAAATGACCTTGCATACTGGTACAGGAGGGGAGGACATTCAGTTTAATTTTAGACTTTATCTGAAGCAACTGATATCCCCCTTTAATTCGGCATGCATCACATCCATCCAGCAGCACAAAAAAACATGATTTTTAATGATTAATCACACAATGCTTAACTGTGCCAAATACTGGATGCAGCCAAATTCAAGTACTATAAATAATGCAAGCCGAATTGAAGGGTGGTTGAACTTAAGTCAGGCATCATATTTGAACCTGCTGCAACTCATCGAAAAATCAAGAAATCTAAATTAAATAGCGATTTTTTTTGTGTGAAGCTAGTTTCAAACTGATTCCTGTCATGATGGGTTATCGCGACTGAATACAACAAAGGCCGATGATGACGTGACGCCACGCCACTGCCTGCTGACTAAAATGGAGGCAGATGCATGAATGTACAGCACAGCAGCAAGTGTTAAAACAACGGAAACACAACTCAGGACTGCAGAAGCTAACCTTGCATAGTCTGAGAAACCACCTTTAACGTGAGTGATGCAACTGCGTATAACAAACGTGGTTCTTTAAACATTCATTCAGAACATGCAAAACGTCCAGAAAATAGCAGAAAGTGAGATTACATTCTGACGCTGCAACCCCTTCCTCAATGTCAACTCTCAAAGCATCATTTAGCACACCTTTAAACATGATAAAAGGACTCCTGTTACATGAATAAACCTTTAGAAACATACAGTAAAGCAGCTAATGATGTTTCTTACCATTTTAGCTAAGAGGTGAAGATGCTTCTGTGTGATGTGCCTGTTCTCCCGGCTCAGAGTTGGACTGCACGGAAGGGTCACCTCTGCGCTTGCATTGTAAAGTCAGGCGGTGAAACGGTTTCTCCAAACTCACTAGGGATTTGTAGTTTTTTATGATTCTGATACAGGCTTAACAAGCGAGCCAACTGCACACAAAGAACGCAGATTCCCATGATGCACTGCGCTGTTTGCACCGCGACCCCTAATCCATATACGGAAGAGGATTTTCTGAAAAGAGTCTTTTTTTTACTGAGACTCAGGAGGCAGTTTGGCGACGCCTGGTGGCCGGCAGCGGAACTGCACCACTTTTCGTGAAAACACACGCCTTTTTTCTGTCTTTAAGTCAATGTCTCATGAACTTCAAAGTACTTAAAGAAACTAAATACTGTCTATAACAAAGACAGGTCAATATTTATATGTGTGAACACACCATAAATACCCCTGGACACACGGACAAATTACCGTAACCCTTTCAAGAACTTCCACATATGCTTTCGATTTTTGCTTTTGCAAAACAACGTTTACAACAACAATTTAAATCCGAAATTTGAAAAAGGCTTGCGTCAAATACTGTTTTGAATGATATATTGTGGTGCTGTCGAGATGTTCCAGCTAAAAAATTGTATACGGACAAACAAATAAACAACATTTGTTTGTGACAGATCTTTGCAAACTTCTAACAAACAAAAGGTCCCCATATAAACTGTAAAGGGTTACCACAATAACATTTATTTTATAGAGTAAATGCCTTTTACAATTTACCTTAACTGAGGAATTCTGTTAAGGGTTTCTGTGGAACAGATAAGGAGAAATTAAGCCTTACAGTAGGTGTCACATATAAGGATAAAACCTAAGATGCCACAGCAATATAGCAAGGATTTCTCCACCACATACAGTAAGAGTAGTTTTAAATTATAAAGTACCTCTAAAATCTCCAAACATCTTTCCAATCCCTTCAATAACACTTGGAGTTCCTCAAGAACCACCTAGAAGATCTCAAGGATCTCCTGAAACCTATCTAGAACTTGTAAACTGGACTGTACTATACTTAAGACAAATTTGATGTGCTTTACTCTTGTCAATAATATGCTTTTCCTCCTCTCCACTACAACTCAAAGGTTGATATTGTCCCAGATGTATTTGACATATTTAATTACTTTTCAGATCAACATGTGATACGTCAAACAAGTGAGTAAATCACTGGGTTTTATAAACCATTACAGCCATAAAGCTCACAGATTCACCCAGTGAAGAGAACAGCGCTGTGTACCAACAGCATTCCTCTGGGGCCTGCAGGCAGCTAAGCAGCTTCACATCATGATCCTTTAAGTGACTTAGGGGTCCCATAAGATGAAAGATGCTTTTACCATGGTGTTCACATGTGTTTCTAACTGCTATTGTGCATTTGGGTGGTTTTATGACTACATTTGCTTTTACTGATGCGTATTTAACTTGGGAACATGTATAACATTTCTGAATGTGACTTGATTTTAGTTAACATTGATGACCTCAAGTCCTTGTTACTTTTGTAGGAATTGTTATTTTTTTATGACATGCAGAGGAGTTTATCTTCAATGCTAGCATCATATACACGTGTTGCATATTGAAGGCTAATTCAGATAGCTCTTAGACAAAATATCTTTACATTTGAATCTTTCTTCTGCGAAATGAATCAAAATCTAAATATAACAAATGGATGTGGCGCTCATGCATTAAGATGACTGATGCAGTTCGGAGAAGACATTGACAAAGACCATCACGTAGGGAGATAAATATATATAACATAACAGTATTGTAGCGACAAAACTCCCAATGAACAGTCGCTAGAGACTAAGGTAGGTTCATCACTTTGACACTTTTCAATTAAGAGTCCGTAATGGGGCGAAGCCTGCGAGCTAGTTCAGGCAGTCAACTCGAGCACTTATGCTGCATTCATACATAACGCCCCTTGCCACTCTACAGCCAACCAAACAGAGTCTCTCTAACACGCCGCTCTATTTAACCTGCCAGATCTCTCTATGCATTGCTTGCTGCTGCTATTGCTGCAGCAACTTCCACATCGCTGCTGCTTGCCTGCCCCACCACCACCCCAGCTTCCACCCAGCTTCCACCCCAGCTTCCACCCCAGCTTCAACCCAGCTTCCACCCCAGCTTCCACCCCAGCTTCCACCCCAGCTTCCACCCCAGCTTCCACCCCAGCTTCCACCCCAGCTTCCACCCCAGCTTCCACCCCAGCTTCAACCCAGCTTCCACCCCAGCTTCCCCCCAGCTTCCACCCAGCTTCCACCCCAGCTTCCACCCCAGCTTCCACCCCAACTTCCACCCCAGCTTCCACCCAGCTTCCACCCCAGCTTCCACCCCAGCTTTCACCCCAGCTTCCACCCAGCTTCCACCCCAGCTTCCACCCCAGCTTCCACCCCAGCTTCCACCCCAGCTTTCACCCAGCTTCCACCCCTGCTTCCACCCAGCTTCCACCCCAGCTTCCACCCCAGCTTTCACCCCAGCTTCCACCCCAGCTTTCACCCCAGCTTCCACCTGTAGGCTCGGGGGATAGTTATCTAATCATCACTCAATGTATTTCAAAATGAAAGCTTATCTTTAAATTTCAGAACAAGAGTCCCTCTGAATTACACACATTATTATACCTATCACAAACCAAATACAATGGACAACCTCCTGTTGTCACACAGATCTCACAGTGGGGTCTGTGGATGTTTCTGGGCTACCGGGATCAGAGGTCAAAGGTCACTTGAGATCAAGTTCACTGCCCAGACTACAGGGACTACAGCGTGTTAAGTTGTTGTTGATCAGACAGTTATCTGTTGCCTCACAGCAGGAAACCCTGAGCCGTCTGATCTGCTGACGTTTATAGAGCAGAGAGTTCACCAGAGTCACCGGAGCACTCTCATCCTTTACTAAGAAAAAATACCAACAACTGACACACAGGTAAGACTACTGCAAACCCTAAGTAAAGGTATCAAAAGTAAAATAACTTTTTCTGGAGACGTCTGACGGCAAGCTAACAGAGAAAAGATTATAAATAAATCGTAAGTGAAATGTAATTTAGTAATATTTGTATAAACTGGAGGGTATAACTATGTGGGAATGCTACTGTACCAAGGAACAGTGGATCGTAGGTATACAACTCTGACTTCCCAATGATACATTTGCAACATTGCCGGATGTACGTGGACATCTGTAATTCTTGACTGGGTTTTTTTTTTTTTACCGACTTCGGGTTCCTTACCTCCAATTAGAGAAAACCCTAATGCTCTAGCATATAGTGATGTTTTATACAAGAACGTTCTTCCAAAAAGCTGACAACAGTTTGGGGAAGACCCTCTCCTTTTCTGTTTCAACACAACAATGACGCAGTGTCCAAAAAGCCATGGTTTTCCAGTTTGGTGTGGAACAGCTTGTCCTCACTTCCATCTCCCCCAACGTCCTGCAGTTGGGTTTTACATCTTGCAGAAAGCCTTGACAGATTGATGCCCATGGTTCAATTTGAGCTATCATGACTCAAATATTTACGACCTATATGCTTTTGTCAATAAACTACAACCCTAAAGAGCTCAGAGTGAAAGTGAAGGACGTGGATGTGGGGGGTGTTCTTTCAGAGAGAGAGTGTACGTTTCAGCAATGAAAGGGTTTTAAATTACAGTCAGGCTCTGTGTCAAGGGCACGGCAGCCATCTTGGATCTGAGTTCTGTTTGCTTAGTTTCCATAAAGCTGCTGGTCTCTGATGCTGACAGGAGCTGACCGTGGTGCTGATAATCTGCAGCGGGAGAACAGGAGGCACATCCCGGAAGAGTAGGTATTGAGCTTTCAAAATAAAAGCGCAAACAAGGATGGTTTAGACCCATTTAAGGGTGTGAAAACAGGACTTACTGGGAACAACATATTAACATTGGTAATCTCATTTACTCACAATAATCACTATGTAGTTATTTTCTATTGTATTAGTAGGATTGTACTTTGTGTCTTAAATGAAAGTGTTCCTATGCTATATTTTTCAGACGGCAATTTAGTTCTGGATAAATAAATAAAATGTTTATTTCTATATGAAAGCATGTCCATTCTTTTTGTAAATGAGGTCCCTTTTGCAGTAATTAACTAATGTCATCATTCCAAATTGATTTATCATAATAGACAATAATCTTATCAGTGCTGTAAAGAGCAGGAAATGAGTTGATGATTACGACACTGACCCAACTTGTGCATTTAAAAAATACTATACTTCTATGATTCAATTAATTTATACAAAGTCAAACTGTTGTAAGCCACTTAAGTGCAATTGTTTGACCTCTGTTGCATTTCTCCAACTAACCCATTTTGACTATCTGTTTCCCCAAAATAGTAACATGAATAAATGAAGACTTAAACTTGAGCTTATCAGACCTGTTAAAAAAGTGCTTTTATTTTGAAGGCATGGACCGGATGTGATGCTGTTTACGCTGCCTGGCTTCGAGGTGGCACTTTGCCGAAACGTCCAGGTGAAGACGACTCACTGAATTAATATTGACGGGGTCAGAGACACGACATGCGGGTTAACTCACACACGAAGGTAGTGCTGGGTTTCCTGCCGCCATGTTCACACCTGAGGTCTAAAGGGAGCGGTACAAAACACCGGGGTTTGTTCCTCGTTATCATGGCGGTTCTGGGTAGGGGGGCAACTTGGACCCCCCTCTGAACGAAGAAACTATACTATTTATGATAGCGTATATATCAAAGACTGTGCTTTATTGAGACAAAGTTACAAGAATGATTCAGTTTGTAATCATGTAGTTTGATGACACTTTAATTAAGTTATTGAGACAAGTTCTGACACAAAAACCAATAATTGGATTTTATGATTTTTGGTGACTTTATACTGAATTAAAAATGATTAAAACCCTGAACACTGTCTTTTTTCTGGTCTGCAGTCATTGGGCCCCTCTCATGAATAAATGGCCCCGTCAATAAAAATGTTCTAGAACCGCCACTGCCCGTTAAGTCACCAATATGATAAATAAACTATGATGAAATAAAGATGAATAACGCTGACATGTTAATACTCACTGGGAGACTAAATGGGTTGCATCTGTCCTAATGTTTGTATTTCTTTTTGTATTTCTTTC